AAAATTTTAAAAAGATTAATGTTAATTAGGGACTAAACCTTTTGAATAAAAACATTTGAAAGAAGTAATATCTTGTGAAAGCTCTATTAAGACAATTAAGGAGCTATAAAATATATTTTAAATTTTCTCTTAAATATTTAAGGATATTTTAATGGCAAGGATTAAAATTATAACAAAGATGTAACGTATAACTGAGGTTAACAGTAAAGTGCCAATATACTACATTGCTTCAACTCTAATTTTTATTTAAAATGAGATTAAAAATTGGCAGCAGAGAGCTCTGATGGGCTGTGATTTCCTTTGTGCATCTTGTTTGCATTAATTTTTTAAATATTTTATTTGCAATTGGAGGGAGAGAAAAATGAGAACAAGACATCCTCAATTTGCTTGTTCACTCCCCAGGTGGCTGTAACAACCAGGGCTGGTGAGTTTGAAGTCAGGAGCAAGGACTTAGGAGACCCCCGTTGGAATAACAGGTTCCAAGAACTTAATTCTGCTGCCTCTACTCCTTCCAGGCAGAGCTAGAGTGAAAACAGAATAGCCAAGCCTTGAACTGTCATTCATATGGGATGCAGGTGTCACAGACAGCAGATTTACATGCTATGTTATGATGCCAACTCCATTACTAACATTTTGGAAACATATTAATTTTGGCAGTATTTTTGGTTGCCTGAAATTCTAAATAGAATGGTGTGTTTACTGTTTTTGGATACATCTCACATGTTGCATACTAATCAGTGCAAAATAAATTAAATAAATAAATAACTAAATAAATAACTAAACCAAACAATGCTGATTTACACATGTGTAGAAATACTATCTTATATAAATTATGTAATTCATTTAAAAAGAAATGAAAATTATATTTTATTGTAACACTTGCAAATATGTATTTGATGAAGCTATGGAATTAATCCAAGTCACCCTCAATTGATGACTTGAAAAAAAATTATGTGGTAGGGCCTGGTGCGGTAGTCTAGCAGTTAAAGTCCTCACCTTGAATGCGCTGGAATCACATATGAGCGCTGGTTCTAATCCTGATAGCTCCACTTCCCATCCAGCTCCCTGCTTGGCCTGGGAAAGCAGTTGAGGACAGCCCAAAGCCTTTTGACCCTGCACCCACGTGGGAGACTGGAGAAAGTTCCTGGCTCCTGGCTTCAGATTGGCGCAGTACTAGCCATTGTGTTCACTTGGGGAGTGAACCATCAGAAAGAAGATCCTCCTCTCTGTGTCTCCTCCTCTCTATATGTCTGATTTTGCAATAAAAATAAATCAATTTTTCAAAAAAATAATGTGGTATACTGTAGAATACTACTCTGCCAAAAAGAAAAACAAATTTTGTGTTTTGCAACAAAATGAGTAACATTAAGCTCAATAAGATAAGACAGTCCTAAAAGACAAATAACATATGTTTTCTCTGATATGGTACTTAATATGATCCACAAAAAGTATCTAGGAATGAAATCAATGTCTTGTGAATTGATTGATATTTTTAGCCTTTGTTTGTACAATTGTGGAACTATGGTCTTTCTCCTTTTTTGCATGTTGCAGAGTGGTCCATTAACAGTATGATTTATAGAGTGGATTGAAATGTGTCTTTGCAAAAGTTACAGAATAGAAGGAAAAAAGTAGAGGATTGAGGGAAGGAAGGAGGGGGAGAAGTATGGTTATTTTCTTAGAATTATACTTATTAAATACACAGAATATTTTTCTCTTTATATTAATTTAAAAGCACACAAGGTGTCAGCTTAAACCACTGTGGAGTAGCTTCTTGCCCAGTAGAATATCAGAAGTTCTATAATTCTGAACCAAGTCACCTAGTTTTATAAGTAAGAATACTGAGGTCCACAAAAAGGAACTTTCTTGGAAACCACACTTTTAATATCACCACTGGCATTAAAATACATACATCATGACGTTAGTATCAATATCTTTTGTGTGCTTCATTGTTTTCTGCTGAAGTGGCCACATAGCCATCCAACTCTGTGTGAATATATGTGGTATTTGACGTTGTAATTGGTGAGAACAGATTAATCATAGAGTCATATACTTCTGTTAATTTTCTGTTTAATTTTTATTAAATATTTATATGTTAAGCATGTGTATATTACCAGTTTGTCATTCTGATAAACCAGGTCAATCTTTGAAAGCTTTGCTTTGATTATTTCAATCTAATTTCTGTCCATCTTTTGCAGAAGTTACCTTGAATACTTTAGAAACAGCTCAGCACAAACAGACATATGATGCAGTTTCTTAAGTAATTGCCAGCTCATCTCCATTCAGTTATTTGTGAATCTTGTGAAATTGAATTTTCTTTAAAAAAAACAACTTTAGTAGACATTTTATTTTATTCTCTTGTAACTAACTAGTTGACAGACATTGGCTAAAGCCTGGTTATCTATTTTGTCTGAACGGAGTTGGTGTCGTTGGTAGTTTGGATAGTAGAAGACCTGGAAAGCTGAAAGAGATCCTTAAAAACATACAAAAAGTTTTGGAGGCTTTTCTGAAGGCCTACTACTGACTACTGAAGATTGGGAGTGGGATAGGATCCTGAGACAAACCTCCCAAAGCTTTCTGGGATGTGGCAGCAGAAGCCAGATTCTCAATAAAGAAGTGGTGAATTAACTAAGTCCAATAGAATGACATATACAGAATAGGGTGTGAGAAATCTCTAGAGATCATTATTCTTCAGTATGACTGAAACACTTCTGAGATATCAGGATAGGGAAGATTTTGCATTAAGTAGGTATAGTGCAGAGGTCCTACAAAAGATAAATTTTCTTTATGTGAAGGAATCTGGAGAGAAAAAAGAGGAACTATTCAGTGATTCAGGGAAAAAAGGCTACTGGTCTGTAAGGGATTTGAGATCAGTTCACTCTTACTAGATATCTAATACCAATTTGTACAAAAAATAAACTTGCAGTCTGTCACAAAAAGTTTTTAAGTCAGTGGTTGGCTGAATTGAAGTATAGTTACAGAAAGGCCACCTCAGTTTATCAACAGGTTAATATGACCCATCCTTTCATCAACTGCAAAAACTACAACTGGGGGATGGGTCAGATTACAATGAAGTTTTTGTTGCATTTAATATTAATATTATATTATTGAGGAATTTGTTCACAGGTGATGTTGACACGGTGTTAAAAGACAAATGCATTCTGGTAGGAGTTAAATATTTATTTAAAATACCTGAAAGCATATTGAGTGACTTAACATTCACCAGAAAGCAATGTGTAGAAACAGCACACTGAGCGTTACTGGGAGGCAATGATGCTTTTAGTTTATTATAGTGTATGGCAAAAGTGAGATGAACAGGTGTCTAAAAATCTGACATTATAGTGTAGCTATTTGTTTTTATTAGCTTTGATTTTCCTTAGTTATAACATAACATTGCATTTCTGTGTTACATTCTAATGCCTATAAACAAAAAATTAAACTTTGTTGATGTTGGTACCTGTGCTAAACAGTTTCAACTATTTTCACCTTTATGAAATTGTTGATTTTTTTAAAAATTTATTTTTATTGGAAAGGCGGATATACAGAGAGGAGGAGAGACAGAGAGGAAGATCTTCTGTCTGATGATTCACTCCCCGAGTGACCACAACGGCCGGTGCTGTGCCGATCTGAAGCCAGGAGCCAGGAGCTTTTTCCAGGTCTCCCACGTGGGTGCAGGGTCCCAAGGTTTTGGGCTGTCCTCAGCTGCTTTCCCAGGCCACAAGCAGGCAGCTGGATGGGAAGCGGGGCCGCTGGGATTAGAACAGGTGACTGTATCGGATCCCAGTGCGTGCAAGGCGAGGACTTTAAGCACTACTCTATTGCGTCGAGCCCTATTGGTTATTTTTGACCCAATGCCTTTCATACTGGAAGAGAGATTTATTGTTCAAATAAAAGCATGGACCAAACTATAGCTACCTAGTTTGAACACATATCAAAGAATAAAATATGTCCTTATAGTCAATTCTTAATGAATTGAAGATTTTGGGGCATTTTGTTTAGCAAGGACCCAAAAAAAAACTAAATTTACTCTGTCTTGATACACCCAAGTAAATGGAAAACTCCAAGTTCAGTTTCATTTCTTGCTTCTTCTTTCTTTGCTTTTCTTTCTTCCCCCAGAGCATATGAAGCCAGGCAGGTTTATGGCTTTCAAAAACATTTTAAAGTGATGATTTTGCATTGACTTATAATTTTATTGGAAAAGAAGAAATTTTTGCTTTGTTCCCGTAAATTTTCACATTTTTGCCTCTAGTAATGTCAGTAAGCTGTTAGGCTTTTTTTCAGCAAGTTATGAAGGCAGAGAATAATATGCCATTGTGAATCAGTTTCAGGGTTTTTTTTTTCCCTCATTGGAAAAGCAGTTTACATTAATCATAGTTACACATAAGTGAAAATAAGTAGTTGTAAAACTCAAACTCCAAAGCGTTGATATGTAATTTGTAAATTTATGACTGCATTTTTACAGTTAAGTTGTTAGCAAAGTGCCCACCTGTGTTTTCCATTATAATTAGTTTTTGAAGAAGTTTCATGTAGCAACACCAGTTATTTGGAGAAATTCCATGTTCATTTCATCTTCAGGAGAAAGCATGCTAAACATGGCAGTAGCAAGCTCAAAATGAGTTTTTGAATGTACTGCAGAATTTTATGTTTTAGGTTTTGGCTGTTGCCAAAGAACGTTCAAAAGGGATTGTTTCAACAAAATATTTTTATTTTATTTTATTTTGCTTTATTTTACATGTAAGAAGTTGATATGTCTCTCTAACCCTACCTTACAAGTAAGACTGAAAAAGTTTGTTTTTATCTAAGATGAGAAATAGAAAACGAAGATGATTCTGTATTGCTCAAAACCACTGGTGGTTTCTTTCATCCACACTTCATGAAAGTTTGTGGGACTGCCTGTGGGAGGAAACTGTTCTGAGCTTTATTACTTTTTTCCTTTTTTATCAAACTGCAGCTGCAATAAATTCCCTTTAAATTCTACTATTTCTGTATTTCTGTGCTTACAGATACTCATTTTGAACAACTCCCAACTCTTCTTCACTGTGCTGCAAAATTTGGTTTAAAGAGACTGGCTATCCATTTGCTTCAATGTTCAGGAGCTACGTGGGCATCTCAGATGAAGAATAAGGAGGGTTCAGATCCAGCGTGTATTGCTGAAAGATGTGGGCATGAAGAACTCAAGAAAATCTTTGAAGAGTTCGCAGTAAGTCTTTCTCAAGTTGTTCCTGAAACTGTTTTTAGAAGGTAAACATACACAAATGCACACATGTGTTTTGCTTTCTTACAAGTCTTAGTAGAAGGTTGGTTTATTCTATCTCTTGGTCCTGATTTGTCTGTTGTCTTCAAAGACATTTTGCAAAATTAGCTTTTTGTTGTTGTTGTTTGGTATTTGGGTGTTTTTTGGGGGGAGGGGGATGGCTATCAATCAATCAGCTATCATTTCTTTTTTGCCTGTGTTTGTTTTGAGTATATACTTATTTACTTGTTCTGTTTTCCTCGATACAGATTTACATACATAGAGAATCATTCCATTTTATTTGTCCCTAAGTTATTACAATGGCATGATCATTCATTTCACTGTTACAATTTAACTTTCTGATATATAAATATATGTTAACATGTGGCGTAAGAGGAAAATATAATTAAATATATTAATTGGAATTCTATCATTTGGGAGTTAAGATGCTTGCAATATACAACTATCATTTTCCAGATGCTCATCTCAATACAGTTGATAGTTGGATTGTGTGTGTTCTGTGTATTAGTTGGCACATATCAGAAAAAATTATGGTATACCTATTTTTTTGGAATGGCTCACTCATTAGCATAATGATTCCTAGCTGGATTCATTTTGTTACAAACGGTAAGATTTCATTCTTTGTTATGGCTGAATAGTATTCCATGAAGTTATTCTTCATCTGTTGATGGGTATCTCGATTGTTTTTACGTCTTAGCTATTGTGAAATGTTCTGTTATACACATGAGATTGCAGGCATCTCCTCTTAAGCAGAGTTCATTTTGTTTTGATCCATTCCCAGGAGAATGGCAGGGTATCATGATATTGTAGGTATGGGCAATGACAGAGCCCAGCATCTGGTGCCAAGATTTATTTAACAGCTTCATTGTGAGTCCATATTTAGAGATGCCTAGTGCATTGTATTTTTCAATCTTGATATGATAGTTTCTATTACACAGTTACTTTGCATAACTTTAAATAAAAAGCCATAGAACAAAATTAACAACAGGAAGAAAAATAGAAAAAATTACAACAACATGAAGTTAAATGACATGCTACTGAATGACTAACATGTTGGTAAAGAAATGAAGAAAATCAAAAATCTTCCTGAAGAAAACAGAGCTACTGTATGACCATTGAGGCTGCAAAGAAATTACTAGGAAATAAAGCTCTTTTGAAGAAATAAAAATGAAAGCAAAAATATCAAAACCCGTGGGATGTAGCAAAAATGATATTAAAAAGAGTATTGATCTTGTATCTTGCAAGGAAATTACCTTATATTAGAGAGAACATAGGATATTCTTTTGGGTTTCACTTATATCACTGAGCATAATGGTCTCTAGTTGGGATCAATTGGTGGCAAATAATATAATTATTTTTAATGACTGAGTAGTATTCCATTGAGTAGAAGCACCACACTTTATGCACTTCTTTTTTGGTGGGTCTGTAGGTTGTGTCCAAGTCTTTGCTATTATAGATTATGCTGCTATAAATATAAGATTACAGATATTTGCATTTCCCCAGTAGCTCAAGAACTTGAGAATTTTTTCATATATCTTTTATCCCTTTGAATTTTGTCACTTGAAAACTATCTATGTTCTTTGCTCATTTCTTAACTGAATTGCTTATTTTGCTATTGTTGAGTTTCCAGTGTTCCTTGTAAATCCTGCATGTTAACTTTCTGTCTGTTGTGTAATTTGCAAATATTTTCTCCCACCTATTTTTGAGATTTATCTGGTCTTTCTAACTTCCATTTCACTTGTTTGATACAGAGAGAGATAGTTCACTCCTGATTTAAGAATTGGATAAGACAACATTAGACACATGTAAACATATCAGTAATTATTGGGTTAAAGATTACATGTTTAACAGACTGATGGAATCATGACTCCATATGAAGGACTATGCTATCATAATAATATGGGGAAAATCAACCAGGGTGTGGGAATTAGGGTTGGTGGGAATCCCAGACCCTATGGGATTGTACCATAAAATTCAAAATAAGTTAAAAAAAAAGAAAAAATTACATGTTGATAATACTTCAAAAATACATCTAATAATAATTGATTCACATTGCTTACATTTGTTCCTACTACATGGTTTTTATTGTCTGCCTGATGTGTTTTAGTTCTTTGTGATTGAAATGCATTTCAGAGCACCCTTTAAAGGATGTTAGCTTTACAAAATGCCTAAGGGAAGATTTTAGGAGGTAACACATCTCGGTATACAAAGAATACTTTGTGCTTCCGTAATCAAGTTTATAAAGCAATTGGTATCTGTGTGTAGAAAGAAGTATTGCCTTTATGTTCCAGAGAGTGAATTATGCTTCTGATATCTCTTAGGAAAATACAGTATATACATTCTGGTGAATACATGAAAATTTACCTTTGGGGGCTCAGAAATATTTTTGGCCAGTTAACAGTTAATATGGAACCTGAAATGCTAACATGTAGCTTCTAGCTGTTTCAGCATTTGTTCTGATTAGCAGTTAATTCAATCTAATATTGGCCTTCTAAAATGTCATCGGTTTTTCTGATTTCCAGAGATAACAGACACCAATTAAGCTTTGTCCATTTAAAAAAATTGCAAAATAATTATTGGAGCAACACTAATGTTTAATCCTTCTTCTTTTATTTTAAAATTAGCCATTATGTATAGTCACTTACCAGAGCAACAGGACATTGACCTCTAGAAGCAAATGAGTCATTTCAGCATTAGATAGTTTCCCATAATACTGTTATTCAGCACATACTAGGTGCCTGTCTTATAACTCTGCAATCCTAGTCTCCACATGGTAGGTTAAGTATTTCTCTAGCTGTCTCAGCAATGTAGATTATTTCTTAAGTAAGCTCACTGATTTTCTTGAAGTGATGCTTTTATTTCTTGCTCTGCAATGAATGTTTGGCTTATGACAGACCCAGCTCTTCAAACTGTGTATGCTCCATAAATAATGCAGTACTGCATAGTGATGACAGACTATATGAAATTAAGTACAAAGGTGGGAAGTGAGAGTTGATATATGTGACTTTTTTTTTCTTTTACATCATTTGTATATTGATATTTCTGCTGCATTAATATCATTAGTTCCAGCTGCTATCATTATCTCTAGGTAACTTCACTCTTTTGTAGTGGAAGCATTCAAATTTACGCAATTATGCTTGATAATCATTCTGTGGACTTTGTTAGATCATTTTATGTATTCTCTTTGTGAATAACTGTATTTTGCCAGAATGCCAAAGGTAGACCTTTTATTATACATAGGATAGATATCAATTATTTTGTGAATGCTAGGCTCTCAGTGAAGAAGTGACTTTGATTATTACAAGGTACAAGAGATCTGTAAACACATTTTAATGGCTATCGATAATTTTAGATGCAGTAATTTTTCAAACTACCAAATGTTCTTTTGCAAGTGTGTGATAAAAGAAATGGCAAACATATGTATCACATTGAAAATGTTCCTTATTGACATAACTACCATATCAATTATTCTTCTAATTATCTGCTTGATTTCAATAAATTCAGAAACTCTAACCCTATTGAAGATATCTGAAATAATCACATTTAGTATTTTTTAGGACTTATTAATTGATTTGAAAAGTAATTGGAGGAAAAGAGATCTAGCATCCACTGGTTCATTTTCTGTGAGTTTGCAGCAGCTGGAAGAAAGCCAGGCAAAAGCACCATGTTGGGTAACAGGAGTCCAACCACTTGCACCATTCTCCATTGCTTATCAAGGCTGATTGTCAGGGAGCTAGGTTGGAAGAGGAGCAGCCAAGACTCAAACTGGTACTGATATGGGATGCTGGTGACACAGGAAGTGTCAACCCACTGTGACATAATACTAGCCCCTTCAATGTTGACACTACTTATTTACAGGTATGTAGCTATGTCCCTTTAACATTGCCATGAGCCTGATAGAGAAGAACTATGAAATCTCATTATTCTTCTGATATACAACAGTTTAAAATAACATTGATACAATTTTAGGGTTATATTCAATTTCTGAAAATCTGATTGTCACACATGATTCAGATATTTAGTGTAGTATAATTTTTCCAGTATTTTTTAGATGAGGCAGTTGCAGTTCACTACTAGACTATATTTCTGTACTGATGATGTATTTTAAATTCCAACATATTTTCCCCCCACTGACTTAATGTTTTCAGTTATCCCTAACCCCCTTCATGAAGCATTGCCAATTTTATGATTTGTATAGAATAATAATGTAATGAGTTGCTCATAACTAAACAAGTGAGGTAGAAGGAAAAATATGATTTTAGAATAACACAGGATAACAAAAACATGTATAAGCATTCATAAATAAAGTGGTATGTCACTATTCCTGCATGTAGGAGAAAGAAATGAAGAAGGAAAAAACAAATCCTTATCTTAAATTTCTTTATGACATTTTTTATTTGAGATGTTAGTAATTTTTACATAATCCAACATAGCCTATTATTACGAGTGAGTAACTTCCTAGTGCTGGTGAAGTTATCTAAAACCCATACTTCTTTCATGTGTTCCATACTGTTACTAGATGGTAATACCTTGTATATATTCAGTTCATAAATTCTTTCACATACTTATATATTTTTCATATTCTTACATTGTTTCCTCTGAATATTAACACAGAGAAAATATAGGGAAAGACTTGGTTTTAAAACTTATAACTGCCTTGAAAATTAAAGATTAAACCATTCAAAACAGCAAATATCACTATTGGTGATTGTTGATTATTTTACAATCTATTTTAAACAAAATAGATGAAAATTAAAAGCAAATTGGAACTGACTTCTTACTAATAAGTGTTTTCAGATTTAAGGTAAAGGAGACAATGAAGAATGTGAGTTTTAAACAAAATAATGTGATAGTTTCTTCTGTCGTCAAGTATGGTCATCCCTTGACCTCCATCAGTATATGATCCGTCACAAAATCATTTTGGCCGTGTGTAGTTTTATAAAAAG